ACTGGCAGTCTCTGCTACGTGACTATTTCAGGGCATTTATCAATCTTTCCCTATCAGCCAGTGAGTGTGCTGTGAATATGTGAATGTGCTCAGCAATTTGGACCTGCCTGTTCTGGTATAGAAATATAAATAGCAATTTCTCCTTGTCAGTTTCTGATGTATATGTTTATGAGTGTAGTTAGCCATCTGTACATATACGTTTCTACAACATGAATAAGAGTACAGATATCACTCTTGCTCTGTATGTTTCTATTCTGTGAATATCTAACTATAGTTATCAATCTGTACGTGCCAGATACTGCTTTGTGAATCTGTGAATTTAGTTATCAATCCATGCCTGTCAGTTTCTGCTTTGAGAACGTATGAGTGCAGTTATCAACCCGTACCTGTCAGTTTTTGCTCCATGCATTTGTTTTGTGTAATGGATTGTGTAATGTAAAAGCAAAGGGTTTTCTAACTCCAACAGTGCAGAGTCTAACTGGGAGACATTATATCAAGGGCTGTTCTTCAGGACGTCAGCTTTTCCGAGTGCATAGTAACATAATTTTGTGAATAATGCTGAGGAATGGATAGATGTGGCTTCCTTTGTCAGACTCTAAGGGAAAGGGCAGTGAACAAATCAACTGTATTCAGCTGAATGACCACAATGTTCCTTCTACAGGAAAGAGTATTGGCTAATTCACTTAATTATTCTATCATGGATATCACATAACCCTGCTCTGTGGTGTAATGGTGCAAGCCATCAGCAATACTCTTATGATGCTCTGTGGTGGGGATGAGGAAAGCAAAAAGACTTGTATTTTCTGTCTTACAGTGGAGAAGATTTAAACTTATTGAACATGGTTGAACGCTTTTTGCTAAAAAAAAATATAAAATTTAACAATTACAAGATTTAGTTAAATGGATCATTCTTCATTACTTTAAATGGTGATTATATCATTAATGTGAAGAAATTGCATTCTATTTTCTTGCCTTTTTGCAATATTTTACTGGGAGGGGCAAGTGACACTGTAGAAAACTAAAGTGAACTTGGAAACAAAGTTAAACAATGTTCTTTTTTCAAAAAAAAAAGATTTGCTCGACAGATGGAAAATATGGTTTCTATTCCTGAAGGTGAACAAGTTGAGAATTATGTTGTGATAAAGTTGGGGTTGGCAAATCATATACTGCCATGACACACTTATTGCTATGGAATGCTGGCTGAATGGAATTAGAATTGTCAGGTGCTTGTTTTTGTCTACTATCAACTTGATGGGCTGAAAGGTCTTTTTTCTATCCTGTAGACTCCTCTGCTTATATAAAAGAAGAGCCACAAACATTTTATATGTATTTGCTTCTGTTACCTGTAGTGTGTATGGGTATACATTGTTGTTAGTCTTTATATCTTATGTGTTGATACAATGAGCATATTTGGGACTCAGTCTGAATCAGTCAGCACCTTTGTGTATGTGTCTGTATGCGCTCAGTAGTGATTTGCTACTTGTCAGTAACACTACTTGTCACACGTGGTTGTTGAAACTATGTAACAACGTGATGTCTTTCTTTGAGGGGGTAACAAGGTGTAGAGCTGGATGAACACAGCAGTCCAGGCAGCATCAGAGGAGCAGAAAAGTGACGTTTTGGGACTGGACCCTATTTCAGAAATGGGGGGAGGGGAAGGGGACTCTGAAATAAATAGAGAGAGGTGAGGAGACGATGGAGAGAAGATAGGTGGAGAGAAGATGGACAGGTCAAGGAGGTGGGGATGAGGCTAGTAGGCAGGAAGTGCGGGTGGGGGTTGGTCAGCGAGGTGGGAGGAGCGGATCGGTGGGAGAAAAGATGGACAGGTCAAGGAGGCAGGGACGAGCTGGGCTGGTTTTGGGATGAGGTTGGGGGTGGGGAGATTTTGAAGCTTGGGAAGTCCACATTGAGACCATTGGGCTGCAGGGTTCCCAAGCGAAATATGAGGTGCTGTTCCTGCAGCCTTCGGTAGGCATCGTTGTGGCACTGGAGGAGGCCTGGGATGGACATACCATCCAAGGAGTGGGAGGGGGATTTGAAGAGGTTTGCGACTGGGAGGTGCAGTCATTTGTCATGATGCGAGCGTAGGTGTTCGACAAAGCGGTCTCCAAGCCTCTGCTTGGTTTCCCTGATGAAGAGGCCACAACGGGAACAGTGGATACAATACACCACATTAGCAGATGTGCAGGTAAACATCTGTTTAATGTGGAAGGTTTTCTTGGGGCCTGGGATGGGGATGAGGGAAGAGGTGTCAGGGCAGGTGTAGCACTTCCTGCGGTTGCAGGGAAAAGTGCCAGGGGTGGTGGGGCTAGTGGGAGTGTGGAGTGGACGAGGCAGTCACAGAGAGAATGGTCCCTCTGGAAGGCAGATAAGGGTGGGGAGGGAAAAATGTCCTTGGTAGTGGGGTCAGATTGTAGGTGGTGGAAGTAGCGGAGGATGATGCGTTGAATCCGGAGGTTGGTGGATTGATACGTGAGGACAAGGGGGATTCTGTCTTTGTTGTTATTGTGGAAGGGGAGTGTGAGGGATGAGTTGCGAGAAACGCGAGAATGCGGTCGAAGGCATTTTCGACCACTGTGGAGGGGAAATTGCAGTCCTTGAAAAACAAGCACATTTGCGATGTCCAGGAATGGAATGCCTCATCTCGGGAGCAGATGCGGCAGAGGTGAAGGATTTGGGAATAGAGGATGGCATTCTTGCAGGAAGGTGGGTGAGAGGAGGTGTATTTGAGGTTGCTGTGGGAATCAGTAGGCTTGAAATAGATATCAGTTTCCAGTTGGTTGCCAGAGATGGAAACAGAGATGTCGAGGAAGGAGAGATGGTCCAAGTGAACATAAGGTTGGGGTGGAAGGTGTTAGTAAAGTGGATGAACTGTTTGAACTCCTCGTGGGAGCACGAGGCGGCGCCGATACAGTCATCGATATAACGGAGGATGGGGCCAGTGTAGCTGCAGAAGAGCAGCTGTTCCATGTATCCTCCAAAGAGGCAGGCATAGCTTGTGCCCATGCGTGTACCCATGGCCACCCCCTTTGTCGGATGAGTTGAATGAGAAGATGTTCAGGTTAGGTGCGAGTTCAGCTAAGCAGATAAGGATATCGGTGGAGGGGGACTGGTGGGGCCGGAGGGAGAAGAACCGGAGGGCTTTTAAGCCATCTGCATGGGGATTGCAAGTATACGGGGACTGGACGTCTATGGTGAAGATGAGGTGTTGAGGACCAGGGAATCGGACGTTTTGAAGGAGGTGGAGGGTGTGGGTGGTGTCACAGACGTAGGTGGGGAGTTCCTGGACCAGGGGGGAGAAAATGGAGTTGAGATCATTGGAGATAAGTTCGGTGGGGCAGGATCACTTAGAGACAATGGGTCAACTGGGGCAGTCGGGTTTGTGGATTTTGGGAAGGAGGCAGAAATGGGTGGTGCGGGGTTGGGGAACGATGAAGTCGGAGGCTGTGGGTGGGAGGTTACCTGAGGTGATGAGGTTGTGGATGGTCTGAGAGATGATGTTTTGGTGGTCAGGGGCGGGGTCATGATCAAGGGGGCAGTAGGAGGAGTCTTTCTTTATCTGGTTTGTGACATTATAAAATACCCTTAATAAATGTAAACATGATTCCGTTCCTGTTTGAGTACTTTCAACAAGGAGTCAGCCGTTAACATTTCAAACATGATGTAAATGTTAATGGGCTATGAATGATATTAATTGGAACTAGCATGATGTCAATTGACAATGGAAACAAAAAACAAACTTGCCTTTCCTCAGTTGTGCTTGGTTGGTTGTATCTTTGGATACATCTCTGGAAATTGAGCTCAATATCAGTCTGATTCAATCCGCTCTGTCACTGTGGAAAGGATATTCTCCATTCTGATCACAGTAACATACCTGCTGTTAGTTAGAAGCAGCTGCTCACACTTGGCTTTGTACCAACGAAATATTACATCATCTTGGTCCTTGGAGTATTTGCCTGGAGGAAGACAAAAGAGATATCTCCTGTAAATCAACATCAGCCAAGTTTGACAATCTAATACAGATTAACGTATATTCAGTTAATAGTTATTAGGATGTTTCTTTTCTTTAACTTCACCTGTCAAAGGAGCAGAACTCCAAAAGCTTATGATTTTAAATAAACCTATTGGACGAGAACTTTGTGTCATGAGAATTCTGTCTTTTCTTTAAAGCCATCAACTCAAACACAAGTCTGATGCCATTCTTACATCGAGCTGCTCCTTGTCTGAGGATTATTTTTTTAAAAATATATAATTCGATACCAATTGAGTGAGATTCAGAAACTAAGCAATAATTGCACAGCTCCATCTGAGGTGCTACCCGAAGATGCTGCAATGTTGACACAGTTCATGTTACCAGATTCCAACATACTAACTGTTGAAAAGAACAATAGGCACTATTTCAAATGTTTGACTCCAGACATATGATCTGTTAGCTCCAATCTACGTCCGACACAAGATACTTGTATTCCCACAATCTTGTCGATGTTTCCACTATTTACCACACAATGTCAACAAACAGCAATTTGCATCAGTGTTTAGAGATTTGAAAACCACAAGAATGACCCCCAGCAGCTTCTTGCCGCTTGTGTTCGGACCACACACAACCCGAGAAAGGCCTCTCTCTTGCCCGCCAGGCCGCTCACTCCAAGTTCCGGGACCAGTTCCTGCCCCGCTCGGCCTCTCACAAACAGCCCCCGGTTCTCCCTGAACTGAGCCCGAATCAATGCCGGTCTCGGAGTACCCTCTGTGTCCGAGACTCACACCTCGATATGTTGCCGGAAAGAGTCTGCTGCACCCTCGCTTCCCTGGGCGCTGGTCTCTCCATTGCGGTCTGTTTCAAACAAACCTCTTCCACTCACTGAGTAAATGCTCCTCAATGGCCGGGCTGGGGGAGGGCCTCACGCAAGCGCTCTTCTCGTCTGCAACAACCAGTATTTGTTGGCGGGGAGGGCAAGTATCGCGCATGCGCTGCTTTCCCCAAATTTTGTTTAAACCGAGCTTGCACACAGCGCGGACCGGACACGGGATCGTTGCCTAATCTTTCTGTAACAGGCAGAAGGAAAGCGCGGGGTGTAATACAGCCCAGACAAACTGATCAACCGGCCGTGTAACCGCGGTTAATCAATCTTATCAAACCCGCCGATTTAAACATCTTCAAAACGAATATTTACAGAATCCCATTTTTTCGGTCCATTTTCATTTCGCCCAGATTGTAAGCAGAACACAATTTGTAATTGCTGCCTGAAATGTCTTTAACAGGTAAATGGAAGGAATACACCATTAAAATATCGCCAGGGGTCCCAGCATCAAAACTAAACAAAATATAATTCCTGTAAGGGTTAATGAGATACATATACTGCAATATGTAACATTAGTGTCTGGGCAGAATTCCAACTCGCGGTATGAAATAACGAGATGCAGTTCCATTGACCCTCCCCATGTGGTACCTTCCCCATTCTCAGTCTCCGCTCTCGTAAATCACGGCAAGTGTGATATTTGAGTTACTCGAATCAATTCATGTTTAAGCTGTGTCTGCACTCGGAACCGGGACAGGGATCATTCGATCCGGGCTCAGCTCTTTCCTGAGAGATGTGGGTGGCTCTGAGAAGAGCCTTTGGATTCAGAAGGTTACATGTTGCACCGACTGCTTCATTTCTTTGCTGCTTTCTTCGTCACTTTCGCTTTGGGCTTGGCCTTCGGTTTATCCGATTTCGGGACCGGTTTTGCGGCCTTGGGGCTCTTGGTCTTTTTCACCTTCTTCACGGGAGTCTTTTTCTTAGGCGCTGCTTTCTTCACCGCTTTCTTTGGCGTTGCTGCCTTCTTGACGGCCGCTTTCTTGCCTGTTGCTTTCTTGGCTGGGGATTTCTTCGCTGTCACCTTCTTGGCCGTTGTTTTCTTCACGGCTGGTTTCTTGGCGGATGCTGCTGGTTTCGCCTTCTTTCCCACTTTTGCCTTGACTGGATTCTTAGGGAGTTTGAAGGAGCCGGAGACGCCTTGGCCCTTGACCAGAGCCAGGGAGCCTTTTGCCAGACACCTCTTGATAGCCATCCTGATCTGTGCATTTTGCTTCTCCACATTGACCTCGCTTCTCTGCAGCGCCTTCTTTATAGCGGCCAGAGACGTCCCCTTCCGATCGCTGCTCTCCCCGACAATCTTCACAATCCGCTCACCCAACCCGGGACCGGCTGGTTGTTTCCTGGGTGCCGCCGCCTTCTTCTTCTTGGGAGTCTTGGGTTTGGTGATGGCGGAAGCTGGAGGAGCCGTTTCGGCGGCTGCACTGTCGCTCATGTCGAGAACTCTGCGCTGAATCTCTCTCTGTCAGACTGAACTGGGTCAGCAATGAAGCTGCTGGTGGCGGCACTGAGCAACTGAAAGGCAGCGAGCGGACGGCGCGGAGACAACCTGCCCAGAGCGCTCTGCTCCTGCTGCCTCTCTGTGTTTCTCTATCGGCCGAAACTCTCCAGTTCCTCTGCAATTCAGCATCTCCAGAGAGCCAGGCTCGATCGTTCCTGACCCTGACACGGGAAGGTTTGCGGCCAAAACGTTTTCACTCGAATTGACGCTTCCGTTGTCGAGTTGAACGCATTTTTCTGCTGCACTAATCGCGTTGTCTGAGCTGAGCGCTGACATTATCCTCACTTTTAGACTGAAATCTTAACATCAACAAATACACTGCCTTGAATTCTACCTTTGGAGTTTAGTGGGGGAGCAGGGGGATAATTTGAATTGAATTTTTTTTTTAATTTGCAAAGAGAGATTCGGGAATGTCATGATGTGAGCGTACACACAAACACAGTTACGTTAGACTAACCCGCCCGCCCTTTTCCGACAGTCTCTCTGACTCAATATTCACATCCGCACAGTCACAGGCCAGAAATATCGCCAAATGTAAATTGGATGTAAGGATATAATTTATTTTCCTTTCAGCCTTTGTTCCGATATCCAGGGAGTTATTTGTAGTTTTTCTCCTCAGTAACTGTTAAACTCACTGAGGCCTGTGCGCCGGAGATTCGCTCTTCTTCAGATTCAGCTTCAACAGCCAATCATCTGGTTTGAAGTTTGCTCACCCAGATCAGTATTTTTCATTCCGGGGACAATAGACAACATAGGTTCTGGGAATAAACAGCCCTAGAAACATAAATAATAGCAACTGGACCTAACCAATCGGCCCTTCATACCTCTCATCCCACTCATCATGAAAATGGCAGATCATCCAACTCAATAGCCTGTGTCAGTTTTTCTCTCATATAGAGTCATTCAGTCAGGATGCAGGACCTTCGGTCCAACCATTACATGCCGAATATAATGCCAACATAAACTAGTTCCACCTACCTGTCCCTGGCCTATTTTCTTTCTTATTTATGTACTTATCCAAATGTCGTTTTAATGTTATAATTGTAACCATAGAGACAATTTCGTCAGGAACTTCATTCCACATGCGTCCATGCTCTATGTAAAAAAAAAACTCTTCTTTCTTTAAAAATCTCTCTCCTGTCACATTAAAAATGTCCACCCTGGTCTTCACTTCCACCCCCCGCCCCCACAGCCCCCCCCCACCCATCCCCAATCCCAGGCAAAGGACAACGACCATCAACTCTGCCTCACCCCCGTCATTATTTTATAAACTTCTATAAGATGACCCCTCAACATTCTATGCTCCAGTGAAAAAAGTCCCAGCCTATCCATCCTTTCTTTGTAACTCAAACCTCACACACATGGCAAATTACTGGTGAATCTCTTCTGAACCCTCTCCAGCTTAATAATATCTTTCCTCTAAATGTCCAACAACAACTGGTCACAGTATTCCAGACGTGGCCTCACTAAAGACCCTTAGAACTTCAATGTGACTTCCCACCTCACAAACTCAAAGGACTGTGCAATGAAGGCAAGCATTCCACAACGATGCCACCCGAAGGTTGCAGGAACAGCAACTCATATTCCGCTTGGGAACCCTGCAGCCCAATGGTATCAATGTGGATTTCACAAGTTTCAAAATCTCCCCTCCACCTACCGCATCCCAAAACCTGTCCAGCTCGTCCCTGCCTCCCTAACCTGTTCTTCCTCCCACCTATCCCCTCCTCCCACCTCAAGCCGCACCTCCATCTCCTACCGACAAACCTCATCCCGCCCCCTTGACCTGTCCGTCGTCCCTGGACTGACCTATCCCTTCCCTAACTCCCCACCTACACTCACCTTTACTGGCCCCATCCCCGCCTCTTCGACCTGTTTGTTTTCTCTCCACCTATCCTCTCCTCTATCCATCTTCTATCCGCCTCCCACTCTCTCCCTATTTATTTCAGAACCCCCTTCCCCTCCCCCTTTTCTGATGAAGGGTCTCGGCCCGAAACGTCAGCCTCTCTGCTCCTATGATGCTGCTTGGCCTGCTGTGTTCATCCAGCCCTGCACCTTGTTGTCTCGGATTCATCAGTATCTGCAGTTCCTACTATCTCTGATTTAGTTTTATTTCCATCCTCCTTTTACATATTTATCAATACATTAACAGTCAGTTTTTAATGGCTTCTGCAAACTTGTTCTTTTCCACATTTTCTCATTCATAATCAATGCATTTGTTTATTCCTTCTTTCCTAATTTTGAAATTTTCCCCAGCTTCAGGGACTTTTATTTTCTTTCGAGTTCTTTTTCTTCTCAATTTGTACGCCTCTTCCATGGATCAAAAACTATGTTAAATAGCCCTTTTAAACGACAGTTTTGTAAACTGTAATAAGAGCACCTTCCATACTCACGAATACATCCATTTAAAAGGATTTGGGCAGCTGATGTGGAGGAACACTACCTTGATATAGGGCAAATTCCCATCCAAGCCACCCATCATCCTAACTTAGAAATATATCCCCTTTCATTCACTGTCGCTGGATCAAGACCCTGGAACTCCCTACTAACGGCAATGTGGGCAGTACATGGATACAACTGTTTTAGAAGGCGGCTCAGCACCACCTTCTCAAGGGAGGAAACTCGGGACAGGCAATAAATGTTGGGCACAGCCAGCGACATCCACGTTCCAGGAGTGAGTAAACAAGAACATTTAGGGTCTATTGTTGAGGTATCCCGTTCATCACAAGGTTTCTGTCTGCACATACCTGAGAATAAAATCAGTCATCTACTCGAAACTGGTATTTGCATCGCGTTCCAGAGATGTTATTACACACCTCTGGTCCGGGTGTAACTTTAGCACGGTCCTCCTGTCCCAGAAATAGGGACACTACCACCGCGCCGCAAGACTCCCTCCAACAGTTACATTCTGCCTTCGTAAGAATGTCCCATTTGTTCCATCGGTCTGTATGTTATTTTGACAGAGTTAAAATGAGACGGAGGTCAGCAGGATTGAATACTACAGTTAACCTGAGATCCGACGTGATGTTATTGAATGGTGAAGCACATTAAAGGGCCGAATGGCCGTCAACTTCACAGCTTCCCCATCAGAATGTAAGTTATTAACATGACCTGGGAATGATCTCCATTGGAGCTTCAGAAAGGGCCAATGCCCCAGCTTGAAACGTTCTCTGCCCTTTCCCCCACAGCCCCATTTGCTTTGCTCAAACTGGGAGTAAAGGGAATTGGGGAAATGACCAATTGATGTTTGATTCTGGGACTCATTGGGAAAAGCAACGCATGCGCGATGCTGGCCCGGCCCCCAAAGCTGCTTGTTGCTGACTGGAGGAGCGCATGCGTGAGGCCCTCTCCCAGCGCTGCCCTTGAGGAGCATTTACTCAGTGAGTGGAAGAGGTTTGTTTGAAACTGACCGCAATGGAGAGACTAGCGCCCAGGGAAGCGAGGGAACAGCAGGCTCTTTCCAGCAGTGCATCGCAATGTGAGTCCGGGACACGGGGTGGGGGGTTCCGATAGCGGCATTGATTCGGGCTCAGTTCAGGGAGAACCGGGGGCTGTTTGTAAGAGGCTGAGCGGAGCAGGAACTGGTCCCGGAACTTGGAGTAAGCGGCCTGGCGGGGAAGAGAGAGGCCTTTCTCGGGCTGTGTGTGGGCCTGCTGAGGGAGACACAGCGGCAAGAAGCTGCTTGGGTGGTCATTTTTGTGATATTTAATCCTCCAAACGCTGATGGTAATTCACCGTTAGCTTCTGTTTCACGTTGTTTGTTGCGAATTGGCATTGAATCGTAAAGAAGTCACAGTACATACAAATGTGTTAATCATGTAAAGTTTAATACAGCACTCACTGGTTTAAAACTCTCGTATTTTTTTTGAAATAGTGCCTGTTGTTCTTCCCTTAGATAGTGTATTGGAAGCTGGGCATTGAACTGTATAAGCATTCAATTCATGGACCGTGCAGGTGTTGGTTAGTTTTTGTATCTCAGTAAATTGTTTTAGGATTTCGCAAAAAGAAAGAGACTAGGAGGAGCTCAGGTTCATGATGAAGCCAGACCCTTCTCTGTTTGAATTGTTGGCTTTAAAACAAGGAAGTATTATGAGTATTAATTAAATTTTGCATTGATCAGTTTTAATATTTTCAAACTCGTTGGATGTTGATTTACAGGAGAATTCCGTTCTGTCTTCCTCCAGGCAAATATTTGATGGGCCAAGACAATATCATATTTCCTCGGTACAGCACCAAGTGTGACCAGCTGCTCCTACCAAACAGCAGGTATGTTAGCAATGTCAGAGTGGAGAATTTACTTTCCACAGTCACAGAGCTAAGACTTGCATTGAGCTCAATGTCCAGATATGTACATTCAATCCAAGGGTCAAACACCACCAACAAAATACAAATGTTTTTTTTTCTCTATAAACTGGTGCAGTTCCAGTAAAGTTCATCTTTGAAAGCCCATTGTCATTCATAGCATTTGAAGAGGGATAGATTGAATCTTCATCACAAATATACACTCTAACTGCATTGAATGCACGTTAAGTAAGGGCATTTTTAAAGTTACAATCAAGGTATATAAATAGATCAAGTTGTTACATTGTTACAATGACCATATATGGACTGGATATTGAGTACAGACATGGAAGGAAACTTTTGAAGTTATCAGTGACTGAGGAAGGCAAAAATAACAAACAGAAGATTCTGGAAAAGCTGAGCAGGTCTGGCAGCATCTGTGACGAGAAATCAGAGTTAACGTTTCAGGCCTGGTACACTTCCTCAGTTCTGAACAAAGGCCACCGGATCTGGGAGGCATTGACTTAGTGGTATTATCACTGGACTGTTAATCCAGAGACCAGACAACATTCTGGGGACCTGGTTCGAATACCGCCACAGCAGATGGTGGAATTTGAATTCAATAAACATCTGGAATTAAGAATCTAATGATGACA